AGCTGTTCGTTATATGCTCAATTTCCTTTTTCCAGCCACTTATTGCTCCTTGTCCCAACTTTTTTGGGATTTGTTGACACTGTGAAATTTTGAATCAACATATTTTTCCTTTAAAATGTTACATTTACTCAGATTAAACTTTAGATCTGTCATCTATGTTATATTACAAATAAAATATTGACATTTGCCATCTCCACATCATTGCATTCAGTTTTTATTCACAATTTGTTTAGTGTCCAAACTTTTTTGGAATCCGGTTTGTATATATAAACAAGGGTTAATTTTACTGTAATTACTTTATTTAGTTTTTAGTCTCAAAGTATAAAAAATAAAAATTATCCTTCTGTTATTTAGATTGAGAAAGTCTGCACAAAATATTGAACAAAATCCACCAAAAAAAACTAAAGTGCAGGTGCAGTTAAAAAAAAAAAAACTAAATAAAATTAAAGCGCAAATCTACATAGATTAGACAATAGATCTACATAAATGTAACCTACAAAAAAAGTTGCCTTTAAATGAGCTATAACTTCCAAAACTTGTGACAAATGCTGAAAAATTAAATGCTGCCTGAAAGGACTGCTGATCATTGACAGAACAGCCATAAGCCAATTTCCTGAGACTCAGGAAAGCAGCTGCTCTCGAGGTTTGAGCTGCACAGTTCCCAGTTGCTGTTGGTTCCCAGTTGCTGATGGTTCCCAGTTGCTGATGGTTCCCAGTTGCTGATGGTTCCCAGTTGCTGTTGGTTCCCAGTTGCTGTTAGGGCACAGTCAGACTCAGGTATGGCTCTGCGGTCAGACTTGATCATAAATCGGTGGTCGATGCGGTCAGTGTTTCCCCTACCATTATAAAAGGGGGTGCCGTGCTGCGTCAACAGAACCGAGTGCAGACTACTGAACTGAGCTACGCGTGCTCATTCTGCTCCTCCTCCAAGACGAGCAGAATGAGCACGGCTGACTGAAATCAGACTGTCTGCTTCGGAATGAACGAGAGAAACACACCGCTGAAGCCACGGAGCTTGAACATCCCACGTAAAACTAACTTTACCGCAGTGCCTGGCTAAACAATCCTCGTGCTCTTTAATGTGGTGCTTTTTCAAATATTTATTAATCAATCCATCCATTCTCTTCCACTTATCCGGGGTCGGGTCGCGGTGAAGCAGCTTAAGTAGGGAGGCCCAGATTTCCCTCTCCCCAGCCACTTGGGCCAGCTCCTCCGGGGGAATCCCGAGGCGTTCCCAGGCCAGCCGAGAAACAGTCCCTCCAGCGTGTCCTGGGTCTTCCTCTGGGTCTCCTCCCGGTGGGATGTGTCCGGAACACCTCACCAGGGAGGCATCCAGGAGGAATCCTGTTTATTAAGTTTGTTGTATTGTAGGTCGCGACAGAGCTTCCTCGTCTCGGTACAGTGACTCTGCAGACATTTCATGTTGCTGTCTTGCGGTGTTTAGTGTAAAATACTTCCACACAGTGGACATGTTACGATGTAGTTGGTTAGCCACAGTGTTGCTCAGTCCTCAGCAGAGGTAAAGAGGTAAAAGAGTATTTACTCATGTTGTAGCTGGCTGCAAACTATGAAATGGATTTACTGAATATATATATATATATATATATATATATTTTTTTTTTTTCATCAAAACACACACACAAAATAACACCCACCCACCACCATCACCATCACACCAGCTCAGCCATACAGACACAAACAACACTCTACACAGACATTGACATATTTTCAACAAGAATATAGTTTAAACTAAATTTACAGGCTTGCTGCAGAAACTTATTTCCTCTCCATCTTTCTGAGTTAGGTGGGAGGTGTAACCTTCACACATTTGATTCCACTGAAATGACCACGGACTATTAAAGTATTGTCTGAATTACTGTTTCAAGACAGCGTTACCCTGAACAGAGAGACGGGTGTCGCTCCTCTGAAAGACAAGTTCCTCCATGCACCAACAAACAATTGCTCATTTCAAAACAAGAACAAAATTTGTGAGAATTCAAACAATAAATGTGGTTTTAACCTCGTATGGTTGTAACTGAGGGATGTGTACCATTGATCTGTTTTCCTGCTGACTTCCTGCAGACTGTCCTAGTTTCATCTTCTTCACTTCTGTTCTCCTCCTCCTCCTCCTCCTCCTCCTCTGAAGCCTGCCCTGAATAAGAGTCTGAGGCTTTCAACTCCTTCATCAGATCTTGAACAGCAAACGGAGCCTGGTCAATGATGGTGGTGAAGATGTTGCTGCAGATGGCACTGAACAGCAGTCGACTAGAAACAGGAGGGGGGAGAGGTCACAGGATGAGCAGGTCTAAAGGTCACCAAGGTCAAGAGGGTACATGTGTCTGCCGCAGTGCTGGTCCAATCAAACAAAGCCATCTTAACATGTTTGCCAGAATGATGGGTGGTAGACCCTGGTTTACTCGGCTTTCATTTTCAACAGAAAATCCTACTATACGCTGATGACAATGTGGAATTTATTGAACAAAATGTCGGAAGATATCTGAGAAAAAAATACATCTCGACTAGCAAACGATCAAAACTTCCTCAAGATAACTCAGGGTTATTTCTGTCTCACAAACGTTTTTGTTCGTTTTATAGTCTGTGAATGTTTTAGTAATTTTGTAAAACGTGTGAATGTTTGCGTTATGTGCTCTGAGGTCACTTTGTTGTGAAAAGGTGCTAAATAAATACAACTGAATTGAATAACCATGTCACTCTAAAGTCTAAAAATATTCTGTCCTTAAATTAGGTTCATGAAGTCCTCTGAGGCTTTGGGGCCTTGGGTCCTCATCAGGACTGCTTACAGTTCTAGTTTTTGTTGCATATAATGGTTTTAGCAATGAAAAAGGTTTTGAGTACAAATTGTTAGGGATGCACCAATCCACTTTTTTTTACTTCCGATCCGATCTCGATACCTAGATCTAAATATCAGCCGATACCGATCCAGTTCGATATCATGATCATCGTGGATTTTATATGAGGCTGTAATAATCTGCTCTCAGTACAATGTGTACAAATATATGCATGCATGTCCAAAAAGGCAACTTGAGGTAAGTTTTATTAAAGTTGGATAAGTTTTAAAGTTAGAATTAAATTCTAACACAAAACATGTTTGTTTTTTATTCCTAGTTTTAAAGTGGATATTAAAGTGATTAATTTAAGTGATTGTTTAAAGTTATTTTATATTTTTTTTAAATAAGGGGCAGATATAAGAATTTTTTTTCTTCTTTCAGCACTCTTTTCATTCAATGTTTTCTTTTTCATGATTTTTTTAAATTTTTTTCTTTTAAATAAATGAATTAAATTAAATAAATGTTAAATGGCTTCAAACATCTGCTAAGTTCATGGCATAAACCAACAGACATGTTCCTGTTTTTAGTATTTTACATCACTTTATAATGTAGCTGTTTGTGTTTTTAATATAATTTTGAAATCATATGTTTTTTATGATTGTCTACTGTTGTACTGATAAATATCTCCTGGAGGGTAAACTGTATCTTGGCTGCAAGTATCAAACTGTGAAATCCTTCGTTTTCTACAACTGATAGTGGTCGATCATTAATTATGATGAAGTTTAACAACTTCTCTAAAATTTAGAGCTCCGTGTTTTCAGCAACGTCGTCTTGTTCAGTCCGAAGCAGGCAGCCTGATTTGGGTCAGCTGCGCTCAGTCTGTCCCTCCTCAGAGACGGGCAGACTGAGCGGGGCAGATTGGACGCGGCTGGCCGGGGTCGAGTCGCCTGTTGTGGGTTGAGCAAAGAGCAGCGCCCCGCTGAATCCACGGAGCTCGAATGTCCATCGTAAAACTAACTTTACCGTGGTTTAATGTGGCGCTGTGGCTCTGCAGACAGTGCACGTTGCTGTCTTGTTTTGTGGTGTTTAGTGTAAAATACTTCCACACAGCGACATGTTTAGATGAAAAGTTTGTTAGTTGTTAGCCACAGTGCTGCTAACTCAGTCCTCACGTTGTAGCTGGCTGCAAACTATGAACTGGATTTCCTGAAAGTGAGGCGGGTCTTATTACTCTGGGTTCATGAGACACGCCTCCGTTCAGGAAATCCATTCCATAGTTTGAAACCAACATGCATCATGGATCGGAAATATCGGCAGGTGGATTGGAAAAATCCGATGCGTAAATTATGCTGGTATCGGAGGCCGATACCGATACTGGATCGGATCGGTCCCATCCCTACAAATTGTTGGCTGTTTGTGTTTGTCTTACAGATGCACAGTTTGGAAGTTTTCTACAGAAAACGATGAGAAGGCAGGCTTAGTTTTTTCCTTTTCAGACTCGTACATGTCGACACCAGATAACCACTTCACTCATTTTAGAGGAAAATGTTGTACTTTAAACATTAAGCTCATGAGGTAATGAACCAATAAAACAATCTTTTGAGGTCCAATGATGCAAGTCGGACACAGTGGACCATTAATTACTCAGAGAAAACAGTGTTGATAAAAACTTACTTCTTGGTTTTGGCTGCTGTTTTGCAGAAGGGTTCAATGAACGTCAGGTTCTGATTGGCAGTGAGCTGTGAAACAGAAAAGCACAAGCTCATTTATGGAGCACATCAGAAGCAGAACAGCTGTGGATCAAACAGTCAAAATGTAGAGCGGAACATGTTCATTGAACACACTGCCTGACTTCACGAAATGTTTCTTCTTTAATAGACCACCCCCTCACAGAGTATTGGTATATAACACAAACACCTGCCTTCTCAATAACAGGCGGTGAATTTGCTGCCTACTTAAGTGTCTGGCGCCGCCTACTCTGACTGACTATTTTTTTCTATTTGGAGCCAATCAACTCGCCGGCTCATGATGGTCACATGATTGATTTCAGTGACTTTAGCGCAGGCATGTTTAAACTCCAGCCCGGGGGCCATTTGCAGCCTGTGTTCACACCGGCCTGCAGCCTCCGTCATAAAATCAATAATATGCGGCCCACCAGTACCGTTGACTACAGTTTTAAATACACGCATACAAAAGCTATTTTAAGTTTCACAGAAGATGGCAGTGTGACCCTTTCCAGGCCATTTCTAAAAGGGTGACTGTAAAAAAAGAAAAGCTGACAGCGGGGCTGCTGCCCCACCAATAAAAATCAAAAGAAGAAGAGGGCCACCACTTCCACAACTAGTGGGAATCTGAGTGGTTTTTCACTGAAATACAAACAACTGCATCTGCCTAATTTGCCAAAAGACTTTGGTTGTTTTCAAGGAATTCAGCATCAAGAGGAAAACGAAACGTGCTAACTACGACAAGCTAAGTGGAAGAACGCTTCGAAAAAGTGAAGCAGCTGAGATGTGCAGCAGCCATTTCATCTCTGGCTGAGGTATTTCAACAGCGCGTTCAGGATTTTGCAGCTATTGAAAAAGGACCGCTCCGTTTTCCTCTCCTTTCTCAGTTGATCCTGATGACACTCCAGACCACCTGCAGCAGGAGCTCTTTGAGCTGCAGTCTGACGCCGAGTGTCACAGTCGGCACCAACTGCTCCCTCTGGTCAACTTTTGCCACAAGCTGGATAAAGGCAGGTTCCAAGAGATTCAAGCAATTGCTAAAAAAATGATGAGTTTGTTTGACTTGATGTACTTGTGTGAGAAGACATTCTCGGTTATGAAGATTAACAAGAACCTCGTGAGAACGAGACAAGTGACTCTCAGCGGCGTGACATCTGGAGCATCAGAACCACCGTCTGTGAGCCATACCGGGACTATTTACTGTAGGCAACATCTCAGGATCACCCTTCACATCAGTGCAGGCAGGTTATTGGTCTAGGTTTCTGAGGTGAATAAATTCTAAAATTTCAGTGAATTAATTTTTTGGTGGTGATCAGAAATACAGATTTGAATATGCACCATGTCTTTTCAGTTTGTGTGTAATTTGTTCTCTGATTTTTCAACTGAAAATCAAACCTTGTCTTATAAACCCAACATGGTAAATATTAAAATCAAATTTGGTCTGGCAGCACATTTTTCCATGTCTTATTTCAGAAATTTAGTGAGCATTTAATAGTGAATAATACAGGTGCTGGTCATAAAATTAGAATATCATGAAAAAGTTGATTTATTTCAGTAATTCCATTCAAAAAGTGAAACTTGTATATTATATTCATTCATTACACACAGACTGATATATTTTAAATGTTTATTTCTTTTAATGTATGATTATAACTGACAACTAATGAAAACCCCAAACTCAGTAGCTAAGAAAATGAGAATATTACTTAAGACCAATTCAAAAATGGATTTTTAGTGTTCCCTCAGTGAAGACTGAACTAGACAAAAGGACTTTCTCCTACTCACTGTGGCACGGTGGATTGTATTCACTGACAATGCTTTCTGGAAGTATTCCTGAGCCCATTCTGTTATTTCCTTGACAGTGGCATTCCTGTTTGAGGTGCAGTGACGTTTAAGGGCCCGGAGATCACGAGCATCCAGTAGAGTTTTACGCCCTTGACCCTTACGCACAGCGATTGTTCCAGATTCTCTGAATCTTTTGATGATGTTATGCACGGTTGATGATGATAACTTAAAAGTCTTTGTTATTTTACACTGGGTAACATCATTCTGGTACTGCTGCACTATCTTTCTGTGCAACAATGGTGGAATTGGTGATCCTCTTACCATCTTGGCTTCTGAGAGACACTGACACTCTGAGAAGCTCTTTTTATACCCAATCATGTTGTCAATTGACCTAATTAGTGTTAATTGGTCTTCCAGCTGTTCGTTATATGCTCAATTTCCTTTTTCCAGCCACTTATTGCTACTTGTCCCAACTTTTTTGGGATTTGTTGACACTGTGAAATTTTGAATCAACATATTTTTCCTTTAAAATGTTACATTTACTCAGAATAAACTTTTGATCTGTCATCTGTTATTTTACGAATAAAATATTGACATGTGCCATCTACACATCATTGCATTCAGTTTTTATTCACAATTTGTTTAGTGTCCCAACTTTTTTGGAATCCAGTTTGTGCATAAAATGGGGTTTTATAATATAGATTTTCCAGGGGGTGAACTTATGACATTTTTCAATATAAAATTGAATGGTGTTTGAATGGGTGAATTGATTTGTTAATTAATTGGGAATGTTTTTTTTTATATTAGATCACAAGGGGGAGTTGGGAGGTTCTGTTATTTACATACAATATGCACCTTAAAACATGTCAATTGATTAAATCAGATTTTATTCACACAAACACATTTCCTGCTGTGACAGGCTAAACATAACGGCAGCGCTCTGTGCAAATAAATTGGGTACTGCATGACTGAAGGGAAAGGGGGCACAGTTTTTTCTTTTTCCTTTCCAGATGGACAAAATGGACCAGGCCTGCCCTTGGCGTCAAAAAGAGAAGTTCAGGTTCTACAAACCGATCAACATCTATTAGATAAGAACTCTTTCTTGCATTAGGACGCCTTCTGCAATCATTAAATCATATATTTAAAGAACTGACTTAGACAAATGTTAGAAATTTCCATTATGTCATTCACCACAACAGGGGGATGCTGAAGTTCTAGGCAGATGTCCAGATGCTGGGTCAGACGACCTGAGGCTGGCAGGTCTCACGCTAGCCGTCAGCTCTGGCATCTTATTTGACCTGAGGCTGCCAGGTCACACGCTATAGCCTGTAGGCATCTCCCGCCAACATATAAGAAGTAATTTACATTCAACCAGAGGAAAAATGATTAATTGTTTGCATATTTGGCGGTAATGAACTCTGAGTTTATTCGAGGGAACCCTTTTTTAGGGTCCCTCGACCAGGGGGAGTTGTTGGATATTTCTTATCTAGACTGGTCCTATGGTTTTGATCTGCTCAGAGACGGGATTATAATGAAATTATGACCCGGTTCTGACTGGGTTCAACTGGGCCAACAACTCTTTTAAAAAGAGTCTCCCTGGGATTCAATATCTGTCAAGAAATAGAGTTTAATCTGCTCGCCACATCACATAGAAAAGATTTTGAAGCACCGCCTCATATTTCCTAACACATCAGAACCACATAAGATCCACTGAGATCACACTGCCCCCTCATACACTGACAGGTTGAGCTCCCCTTCTGCAAAGGAGGAGTCTAGGTCCCTATAAATGATTAATGACACGGGACATCGGGCTCTTCCGGGTCTGTGAACGCGTCACAGATCGGAGACACCAGCGCTGTAAATTGTAACCTTTTCCTTTCTTTTTTTAAAATATAATTGATAAAACTTAATTGACGTTTCCTTGATTTATTGATAATGAGAGTTGCCACTTCTGAGGGAGATTCGAGCCGGGGGGAGAGACATGGGCTGGACAGGGTTTCCAGGTCCGGTGATCCGCAGCCAGCTCCCGTCCCTAACAATAAATAAATCTAACACAAAGATAATTTAATGATTAAGCTTCAACTTTTAATTTGCTGGCAAAGTCTGAAGACACTGCATGTATGGCAGGATGACCGCCAGCTGTGGTACGTATTAGGTTTAGTTTTAGAGATTAATATGTTTATAGGTTTTTTATAGGTTTAGAGATTAATATTTTTTGCTTTTTGTTTGTGAAGCAAGGTCAAAGGAAGCTGGTTCTGGTTCGGTCTATTGGACCCGGTGTTACACCATATTCTTTGACCTGCAACAATGCATGCAGCACTGCCCCCCTACGGTCACAATATACGGTGGTCACAGAATATGGTATAACACCGGTTCACAACGAGCTCCAAACAGTCAGGAAGTTGATTCATTTTCTGTTTCCTTACGGTAGTTGAACCGAAAGATTCTTTAGTGAAATAGTTCCAGACTACTGATGCATTTCTACCTGTTTGCCAAAACTGTGCCTGCTCCGTTTCATCCGTCTGCTTGGAGGAATCCATTTCGAAACCCACACCCGGTGCGGATCACGTGACACGTGACGTCACGGCGACGTAATGACGTCACTACGAATACTCGACGTGAAATTTAAAAACTCGATAGAAGTCCCAGGAATCGATGTGTAGATTACTCGAGTAGTCTGTTAAAGCCCTAGCTATAATACATATTTACTCTCTCATTCCAGGAAACAACAACAAACAATGACAGCCTTCATGATGGACAGACATCAAGGACACCACAGCAGCAGCTGTCTTCACTGAAACATCCTGAACATGATCGTCACTGACATGAGGCCTCTGTCGATGGTTGAAGAATCCAGGTTACACTCTTCCCTCAAGGACACATTTTACAAAGTAGCTACATATTGTGCAGGTATAAAGTATACATTTGTATATATTTTTGTGTACATTTATTTTTTTAAGCTATTTGACAAACTTTTTTATTATTATTATATATTTTACTAACAGAATAGGCAAACAGCAAAACCTGTTTTTTTGTGCGAATTGCTATCAGTCAAATGTAAAATTTTGGAATAAAGGGGTGGAAATTAAAATGTTTTTTGTTTTTTTTGCCGATTCATCAATTAATCAAAAAAATAATTGGCCGATGAATTGATTATCGTTAGTTGCAGCCCTAGGATTAAGTTTTAAAGAACTGGTGAAAGTGAATAACTGATAAAAACAGTGTTGTTGTGTACCTGTGCAGAACCAACTGCTGCCAGTTCAGTCAGGTACAGGTTCAGGATGTGGAACTGCAGCCCAGCCGGAGCCTTGCTGTCACTCTGAAGAAGGTCTGAAGTCAGCAGCTGCAGAAACTTCTCCACCATACTGAGAGCAAAGAGTCAACAGGTGTTCATTTCAAACAAGTTACCAACAAAGTGAAAAAAGTTCTCTTACCTGTTGTCCCAGTCCATCCTCTTCAGCACCTCAAAGGTTTGTCTGAACATGAAGCGAACCAGCTGCGAAACATGACTTTAGTTAGGTTCAAAACACAAGGTTTTACATGTTACATGTGAGCTTTCACCAGCAGTCTCTCTCTGCTGCTCACAGTGAACCTGACAGCAGGCCCCGCCCTGCTCTGATTGGTTCAAAATGTGGCTCTGGTTCTCTTTAATGGTTGAAAGCAGCATCAGTTTAATTTCAGTACCATCATTAGAGTGGATGATTTTAACAAGACCACAAGAAAACACTTTTCTACCCCTTCCACATTACAGAAATACTTCCTGGTCACGTCCAAAATGACGGAACTTGAATTCGTGAATATATAATGTGGTTTTTTGTTGTTGTTAAGATTGTTACCTGAGTGCAACATTTTTGTTACCTAAGAAGAAAAAGGATCAATCAGTTCACTTAAAACAATTTGAAATTGAACTTTACATAAACTTGGCCTCATTCTGAAAAGTTTCTCATGAACTTCAGGCTTGGGTTAAAAGTGTTTCTGAAGGAGCTGGTCCCCAACATTCTCCTCACACTGACCTGGTAGAACTTGTCCATCCGCAGCCTGTCAATACCAGTCCACTCTCTTTTTAAGGTCTGCAGGAAACTTCCCAGGTACATGAGTTCTGCAGAGATCCAGCATTGTTACAAAACAGAAGGATCACATTTACCTGCACTAATGGAGTGTGGAGAACTTACGCTTGTCAAAACCCTGAAAGTTGTGAATGAAGGAGGAGATGTGGTTGGAAATTTCCTCCTTATCAAGAGACAAACAGAATGTTAAAAGTGCACCGTGAACAGCTTTATCACAAAGTTCAACAACTAATAAAGACAACTGAGAATCTTTATGAAATCCTGACAATCTGGAGCTTTACAAGATCTGGGACAGACCAGCAAACCAGAACCTTGAACCAGGAGTTGCCTGAATGACAAAAGACTTGGCAGCTAGGCTAAAATAGTTCCATCAGCCGTCATTAGTCCAGGCTAATGGGCCTTTTCCACAGCTCCTCTTCAGCCCGGTTCAGGTCAGTTCGGTACCGGTTTGAGTGCATTTCAACTGTCTTTTTTTCTCGGAACCGGCCCCTTTTTTGGTCCTTTCTTCTCAAGCGGACCAAGTGAGCCGAGTCGCACCACACCGAAACGTCAGAAGACTGTTGGTCACTGATAATTCAGAGCGACCTAGATGGAGCTCTGCCGGTCCCCGACTCTTCCCGGTCCTCCACCGGAGCTGCTGAATCGCAGAATGCCATTGCCTGGACCCCGGCCTCACTTGCTCATGAAGGCCAAACCCCAACCCCAGCAGACTGGGACAGAGGGGTGGCAAAGATTTTAAATAACATTTTATGTATTTAAAAAATATATACATTTTACAATCTTAGCCCGGACTAATGACAGCTGATGGAAAAAATAATAATAATTTGATTTTTTTTTATCAGTCAAGATTTAAAATATTAATAAACTGTACCGGCTTTATCATGAAATCCTGTTTTCACTTTAATGACTATTGAATAATCTGTTTAAGTTAACTCAGCTGAAAAATCATAAAAAGACACAAAATTATTGGATCTCTCATGAATATTTCCATCAAACATGTTTAAAGAAGAGATACGGCCTTTAGTTAAATTTTATTCTAACCCACAGATGTACAAATCACAATACAAGAAGTAAACTTTAAATCAAAACTAAAATAAAATAATATGTATTCAAGAAACAAAACCACACATCTAAACTGAACAATAAAAGTAGACACCATGAGTGCAAATACATCAAATGATGACTAGGGTTGGGCATCGTGAATCGTTTGGAACCGGAACTAATGTTCTGGTTTTCGCGGAATCTTTTGCTTTATTTACGTTTGATTCCTAGTTTCAATGCGTAGTCCGCTGACCGGAAGTAACCGCCAAACACCAAAGAAGAAATTGCCACTGAAAACCATCCATCCATTTTCTTCCGCTTATCCGGGGTCGGGTCGCGGGGGTAGCAGCCTAAGTAGGGAGGCCCAGACTTCCCTCTCCCCAGCCACTTGGGCCAGCTCTTCCGGGGGAATCCCGAGGCATTCCCAGGCCAGCTGAGAAACATAGTCCCTCCAGCGTGTCCTGGGTCTTCCTCTGGGCCTCCTTCCGGTGGGACGTGTCCGGAACACCTCACCAGGGAGGCGTCCAGAAGGCATCCTAAACAGATGCCCAAGCCACCTCAACTGGCTCCTCTCGACGTGGAGAAGCAGCGGCTTTACTCTGAGAAAATCCCGGATGATCGAGCTTCTCACCCTGTCTCTAAGGGAGAGCCCAGAAACCCTGCGGAGAAAACTCATTTCGGCCGCTTGTATCAGAGATCTCATTCTTTCGGTCACAACCCAAAGCTCGTGACCATAGATGAGGGTGGGAACGTAGATCGATCGGTAAATTGAGAGCTTCGCCTTTTGACTCAGCTCTCTCTTCACCACGACAGACCTGTACAGCGCCCGTTTCACTGCAGACACTGCACCTATCCGCCTATCGATCTCACGCTCCATTTTTCCCTCATTCGTGAACAAGACCCCAAGATACTTGAACTCCTCCACTTGGGGTAGGACCTCTTCCCTGACCCGGAGAGGGCACTCTACCCTTTTCCGGCTCAAGACCATGGCCTCGGATTTGGAGGAACTGATCTTCATCCCGGCCGCGTCACATTCGGCTGTGAACCACTCCAGCGAAAGCTGTAGATCACGATCTGATGAAGCCAATAAGACCACATCATCTGCAAAAAGCAGAGACGCAATCCTAAGGCCACCAAAACGGATCCCCTCAACATCTTGGCTGCGCCTAGAAATTCTGTCTATAAAAGTTATGAACAGAATCGGTGACAAAGGGCAACCTTGGCGGAGTCCAACTCTCACCGGGAACAAGCCCGACTTACTGCCGGCGATGCGGACCAGGCTCTGACACCGGCCGTACAGGGACCTAACAGCCCGTATCAAAGGGCCCGGTACCCCATACTCCCAGAGTACCCCCCACAGGGCCCCCCAAGGGACGCGGTCGAACGCCTTCTCCAAGTCCACAAAGCACATGTAGACTGGTTGGGCAAACTCCCACGCACCCTCCAGGACCCTGCTGAGAGTGTAGAGCTGGTCCAGTGTTCCACGGCCAGGACGAAAACCGCACTGCTCCTCCTGAATCTGAGGTTCGACTATCCGACGGACCCTCCTCTCCAGAACCCCCGAATAGACCTTACCAATGAGGTTTAAGAGCGTGATTCCCCTGTAGTTGGAACACACTCTACGGTCCCCCTTCGTGAACAGGGGGACCACCACCCCAGTCTGCCAATCCAGGGGAACTTACCCCGATGTCCACGCAATATTGCAGAGTCGCGTAAGCCAACACAACCCTACAACATCCAGAGCCTTAAGGAACTCTGGGCGAATGTCATCCACCCCTGGGGCCCTGCCACCGAGGAGCTTTTTAACCACCTCGGTGACCTCAGCACCAGAGATTGGAGGGCCCGACCCAGAGTCCCCAGGCTCCGCTTCCTCAGTGGAAGAAGTGCCGGTGGGATTGAGGAGGTCTTCAAAGTATTCCACCCACCGACCCAAAACATCCCGAGTTGAGGTCAGCAGCACACCACTCCCACTATAAACTGTGTTGGGGGCGTACCGCTTTCCCCCCCGAGACGCCGGATGGTGGACCAGAATCGTCTCAAAGCCGTGCGGAAGTCGTTCTCTATGACCTCTCCGAACTCCTTCCATGCCCAAGTTTTTGCCTCAGCAAGTCGATCATCGAACTGCGGCCTAGGGTGTCCTGGTGCCAAGAGCACATATGGACACCCTTTGCTTGAACAAGGTGTTCGTTATTGACAATCCATGACGAGCACAGAAGTCCAACAACAGAACACCCTCTGGTTCAGATCAGGGGGGCCGTTCCTCCCAACCACACCCCTCCAGGTCTCACTGTCATTGCCCACACGAGCATTGAAGTCCCCCAGCAGAACAAAGGAGTCCCCAGAAGGTGCACTTTCCAGTACCCCCTCCAAGGACTCCAGAAAGGGTGGATAATCTGAACTGCCGTTTGGTGCATAAGCACAAACGACAGTCAGAACCAGTCCCCCCACACGTAGGTGGAGGGAGGCCACCCTCTCATTCACTGGGGTGAACCCCAATACGCAGGCACCAAGTTGGGGGGCAATAAGTACGCCCACGCCTGCTCGGCGCCTCTCACCAGGGGCAACTCCAGAGTGGAAGAGTGTCCAACCCCTCTCAAGGAAACTGGTTCCAGAGCCCGAGCCATGCGTAGAGGTGAGTCCGACTATTTCTATCCGGAACCTCTCAGCCTCACACACCAGCTCAGGCTCCTTCCTCACCAGTGAGGTGACATTCCACGTCCCAATAGCCAGCTTCTGTAGCCGAGGATCAGACCGCCAGGGTACCCGCCCTCGGCCACCACCCATCCCACATTGCACCCGACCCCTTTGGCCCCTCCCACAGGTGGTGAGCCCATGGGAAGGGGGACCCACGTCTCCTCTTCGGGCTGTGCCCGGCCGAGCTCCATGGGTAAAAGCCCGGCCACCAGGCGCTCGCCCGCGTGCCCCATCTCCAGGCCTGGCTTCAGAGTGGGGCCCCGGTGACCCACGTCCGGGCAAGGGAACACTAGGTCCATTTATTTGTGTCACCATTGGGGTATTTGGGCTGCACTTTGTCTGGTCCCTCACCTAGGACCTGTCTGCCATGGGTGACCCTACTAGGGGCATAAAGCCCCTGACAGCATAGCTTTTAGGATCATTGGGACACTCAAACCCCTCCACCACGGTAAGGTGGCAGCCCAGGGAGGGGCACTGAAAACCAATGAAGAAAAATTTGCAGGAAGTAGGCGCCAAAAACCAACGAAGAAGAGTTTGTAGGAGGTGAGGTCTTTACAATCTACATACATAATGTAGGTAAAAACATCCCTGATGCATTCTTACATTTCTATGCTGATGACACAGTTGTTTATTGTCAAGTTAAAACAGCTGAAAAGGCTTTCCAGCTTTTGAAATCTGCATTCAACATCATCCAGACAGATTTGCTCCACCTCAAACTTGTCCTAAATGCCGACAAAACCAAAGGGATGCTTTTTTCAAATAGGAAGTTGGTCCCAGCAGTTCTTCCTCCGATTTCATCCTCAAATGGTGTCCCCATTGAGTTTGTTGATTCCTATAAATATTTGGGTATCTTGGTCGACTCACATCTCTCTTTTAAGCTCCATGTGGAAAACTTGGTAAAGAAACTGAAAGTTAAACTGGGTTTCTTTTTCAGAAACAGATCCTGTCTAACCCTGAATGCTAGAAAACACCTTGTATCTGTGACTTTCCTTCCCTCCATTGATTACAGTGACATTATTTACATGAACGCTCCTACAAGCACCTTGCAGATGTTGGATGATGTCTATTAACTTGACTCAGGTTCCGTCACATGTCCACGGCCTTGGGGAAGGGAGGGGTGAAGAGACAAAGCATTTTTGTTTTTTTCAAAACATGCCAGAAGGAGTTGAGATAAGTCTGCCATCAAGGCCACAGTTTTGGGTCAGACAGAACTCGTGAATTGTTGTTTCTGCCTTTTAAAGTCTCGCTGGTATATATTCCTCTGAGGGAAACTCCAAACAGCCAAATTGATTCCTTAAAGTTGAAAGTCGAGCTCTCAGCTTCTCCAAGATTATTCCCACCTTCATGTGTGCTGCTAGAGTCCACAGTCCTGATAACGGCTGCACCAGCTCTTTGATGCAAACTCCACATAATTCAGTCTGAGCGCTG